ACCTATAAGCTTAGGATTTATGCTATGAAAGTCGTAGGTTTTCTTAAAAAATACTTATATGTGGTTATTGTTGTAGGGTTTTTTTTTTTTTTTTATTATATACTCTGAATGAGAACTTAACCATACCATGGTTACAAATTGTTTTTCTTGAGAATTCTCATCTTTTTATTACGTATATTGTACAATGAGTCGTACAATAGAATAACGGGTGGATGACACCCTTACCTTACACCTAATTATTCCAATTCCTCCCGATGGAAGCTGATTGCATATTATTTTTTTGGGTATAGTAATATACAACATACAAATAGGTGGTGTGAGACTATAGTAGTGTATGTATGCCGTAACTGGGATGATTTAAGTATGTACACTAGCGCTCCAAACGGGGATCCTTACTGCTCTGAAGAAGAATATCGAGCAAGCATGCTTTGTTCGACAACTTATGGACCTACTTTTGAATTAAAGGCTGCAGTAAATTTGCATAATATTTAGATCGAAGTGTATCATCAGGATGGTGTTCTGCTGGGTTTTTTCAGCGAAGAGGGATATCACTATTCTGTTAAGAGGAATTAACTGTAAATTTGAGGCAAAAAAACGACCAATTTTTTTGGTGAAATGTTGAATCGTTTACGAATCGGTATAGTAACAAGTCAAGACGGTTGCACTTTATCTAATCTACTCCTCAAATTAACCGCTAAAAATCAAAACGACCTGCTGAGAGAAATCGTACCTTATTTTAGACTGCTGTCCGATGATACAGTATGTTTATTTCCCACTAAAAATATGTCTAACCAGTTTAATACTGCAAATACTGCAGATAGACGAAATGGACTGTTCACGGTATTTAATAAAACGAACAAATGAAGTACTCAAAAAGAACGAGGATGATTTGTCGCTAACTGCTGATTTAGAAAATGTCATCACGATAAAAATAGGCGCACGTGTTATGTCGCGAAGAAACGTAGATGTCAGTAAAGGACTGGTAAACGGATCCATTGGAAAAATAGAGAAGGTACCTACATTGGGACGTCGACAACAGCAATAGCGCACGTAAAATTACAATACAATTTAAACGTAATTTAATTTACGAACTGGAACGAGACAAGACCAAGTTTCAGATATTCAGTAATGTATATGTTAAGGGATTACTATTTTCTCTACTATTTTCTTAGCATATGATATTACTATCCACAAATCACAAGGCCTTAGCCTTGATAGTCCTCTTCTTGACATAGGTTCTTCTATATTTAGTAGAGGGTAGGCTTACATTAGACTCTACAGAGTTGAAACCTTACATGGAGTACATCTTATCAATTTAGATCAAACTCAAACTTATCAAATTATTCAGAAGAGAGCTCTATTGTAGACATAGAGAAGTGGTTATATAGGTCTTTAATTATAGAGTACAACCGTCTGAGCATGTAATACCGCCCCGACTTGGCCAAATTAAGTATAAACAGAAAACGCGTAAAAAAATTCCGGATATTAAATGGGCAATTCACTCGAACATTTCAAGGGTACAAGAAAATATAGAAAATAACACAAAGAAGACAATTATACTCCGTAAACGTAAGAAAATACAGTAGTTTACCAAAACCATTTGGTATTCATTTTGTTATAAATAAGTACCTACTAATAATTTATGTACAAAAAGTAATGATATCCCATCAAAAACATAAATGTGAAATGAGAGCCAAGTTCAATATTATTATGATATTTGCCTTGGTTGTTGACTTCACCGACAAAAGAAGTGAGATCTAAATGGGTGCCAAGTTCAATGGTCAGTCCTGAAATTTATTTATAATAACATAAAATATCATTTCTTCTTATAACTTAGGATAATAACATATTGTAGCCTCAGGTCTGACTTGGCTAGTTTTCATATTCATTTTTTTCATGCATGCATGCAGCAGAACATAAATTCGCGTACGACATTCCCCGCGCAACTTAATTACAAAATGGTGAATGATGTTCGTCAACACATCATAGCGGCGACAAAGTCACGCTTCTATGCGACTTCTATTGTCTTATTATTACGATTTCTGTGAGTCTATATGAAAAAGCAGTGTGTGTACTGCTATTTTTCATTATAGATGGTATTACAGAGCCAGTATGATTACAGGCTGTGAGGTATTCTATTATAGCCTTCAGATGTGACGCATCTGTAGGCTTCTTTATTTGAGTAGTCAGTTGGACATTAAGCCCGGTTTACATTTTGAGAAGTGACAAGTGCGAGCGGCAATGACAAGTGACAAATGACAAGTGACAAGTAGCAAGTTGGTGTTCACACATGTGGCAATTGGATGTCATTATTATGTGAAATCTTCGAGTGTGAAATTGGGTTGGTAATTGTCAAAGAGGCGCTAGCACAGCTTTAAAGTTTAAAACTGGTATCTCATCATACAATTTTACCTTTTTTGATTAAAAAGATGTGTGAAGTGCTTTATTGCAAAGATATTGATGCACACCAATTTTCTAAAATAGCTTAAGTGAGAAAAATATGTCTTAAAGCTATAACAAGGAAAAAATTTAAGCCTGAAAATAATATGGCTCCAGCCCTGACCTACAGGAGTCTTTAATTTTCTTCTTTTCTTGGTAATATGTAAACTTAATGCTTCTTAACTTTGCATATACTACACAGAAACTATTCACTTGTTACTTTTCATTTCGCACTTATCACTTGTCACTCGCACTTGTCACTGTCTGTTCACACGCACTAAGCAATTGTCATTTGTCACTTATCATAGCCGCTCGCACTTGTCACTTCTCAAAATGCAAACCGGGCTTTACGCTCGTTTGTCACATCAGTTTTATTTTAAAAATTCGTCATTGCAAAACAATACACCATACCATCTGTTGGCGGCGTAAAGAGAATTCATCACCATATTTCGTAAGTGTCCGTAAGTATAAACACACGAGAGATAACGATAGAAGAAAGAAAAATTAAAAATTAAAATGTTTCAATTGAACTATCATCTAAATGTAGGATTAGATGTAATATCGTAAATACATCAAAAATGGATTTATCAAGTTCTATCTTACTATGTTGTAAATTTGTCGCTGTTTGAATTTGTTGCAGGTGTATTAGACAATAATATTAAGTAGTAAATTAAAAATAGTAACATTAAAAAATATATCCTATTATGATAAACGTTTACACTTCACGGTGATGCACATCGGACAGCAATGACCCTTTGTTACAGTACATTACAAACGAGATCTTTTAAGTTTGCAAATCCCAGTCGTACTTGTACTTCCACATTGTCAGAAGCGAAGTGTACGTTCAATTGCTTACTCTTTTAAAGTACTTTGACTAATGCATAATATCAGTTGCTGAGCTGCTGAGGGGCCATATCTTATTGCTGAGAGAGTATTGAGGACAGGTAAGAGTCCACCGCGTTACCCTATGCACTAGCGGATTTCACATGCTCTTGATGTTTGAGCACATCGTAAACCGGCACTTAAAATTGCAAATAAGAATCGCCAGCGAATAAGAACTGCGTCCGTTAGTTGTTTACATTAAACTAGTAAAGTATTGACTACAACTTCACGTTATTGCGTATTATACTTTATTTGAATAAATAGAAGAATATTTTTAAATTTTAATATCTATCCTTTAATTGTCTTTCCACTACACAAACGTCGGAAGTTAAAAATAAGCAAAATTAAACGAGATAAAATCCATAAAAATAGTATGGTGTTCACAGTTTACTTAAATATAAGGTAATCATAAAAGGTTCCAAATCTAATTGGTCAGAGCCATAGAGCTGTAAAAAGTTAATTAATGAAGCGTACAACGAAAATTAGGTCGCCAACGTTTTTATTTTATTCAGCTCAACCCTCATTTGCAAGTGCTATACGCTTGTTTAATCCTTTCAATGTCGGGGGAAAACAGGGGTAAATTTCCCCTTTGACTGTATTCGTCATCAGTTTGAGTAAGCATTTATCACGTTCAATGTTATAGCAGACAATTTAAGCCGGTAGACGACGTATACACGTGCGGATATGAAAACAATAGAGCTATCTCATGGTTCGGATGGAAGTTTTTGTTCTTTTGGTGATTTTCAATTTTCACATTAAACAGTATTTTGTGTACCTGTCAAGTCTATCTTATACTCAAATGAGACACCAGTCTAATAGAACTAGTATTTTTTTAAATACTGTTATAACTGACAAATGTAACAGAATACGGTAATTGCCGATGGTGAAGTAAATACACCTGTATTTACTAAAGGTGAGCGTAAGTACTTTTGTACACGCCTAAATATGATAGGATACAAATTGAACTACCATTTTCAATTCAGTTTATCGAATTACCATCACTTTGAACTCTTTTTACTTGTAATGAAGAATTCCATATCTATGGACCACATAATCCACTTGGCTATCAGATGAGCTGCGTGCTCGTTTACGCCAATCTTACTTGTATCTTTTATAAAATATTTGACAATAATTAAAATGAAAAAAATATTTGACGTAAATTAAATCAAATATGCGAGATTTCTGGTACTCCTTAGCGTTTTTTGTATAGAATAAGGGTAACAAACGAGCACACAGTCCACCTGATAGTAAGTGGATGCTGTGGCCCATAGACATCTACATTTATCCTCAAATAAGAATCAAAATGCTGATGCGTTGTCAAGTCTGAGAACTGAAATGGAATACCTGGTTTCCAGTAAAAAGGGTCTCTGGTTCTCTACACTCACAATACGAAATACAGCAACATTGAGCTGCTATTTTACGCTGGTATTCTGTGAGAGCGTGTTCCTACACAGGTTGAGCCGACCCATTTGATCTACAACTATAATATAGCTGCACCGTAGCTCTACCACGTGTTGAACTGCTACTGCTAAATGCGGAAACTAAGGCATGGGAGAGGCCTATGCCCTTCAGTGGGCTTCTACGGGTTGTTAAAGAAAAGACAAAAACGAAGGGGTGGAACTGTTTGTTTTACAAACATATTATTGTATTGTTTATATTGTTCATATTGTTATGGACAGGTCCTGCCCGTTTAGTACAAGTAATGCTGCCGCTGGTAAGACGTGCGCGAGGTCGCGTTGTGATGGCATCGTCCATTTTAACCCATGTTGCCGCTCCCGTTCGTGGCGTCCATGCAGCATCGCTAGCCGCTCTTGAAGCGCTCGCTGCTTGTCTCCGACGTGAGCTTAAACCACGTGGGGTCGATGTTGTGAGTATGTTACCACAGAATAAATAATAGATGTTACTATCGAAGCAGATGAAATGGTTGAAACAGACCAACCAATATCCAGTAGATACATGTACAGTGGGCCCCCGGTAATCCGGCCCCTGTTTAATCCGGCACCCCCTGTAATCCGACACGGTCTATTATTTATTATTGAATATTTTTTGACAATCTTTGCTAATTGAAGAAGTTATAACTTGTTCAATCATGCATTAGCGAATATTTATATATATATATATATATATATATATATATATATATATATATATATATATATATATATATATAGCTTCCGGACTGTAGGGGTCTTAGGCTCTCTATAATCTGACAAATTCGATAGTCCGACACTGCTCTGCAAAATGTTTGTCGGATTACCGGGGGTCCACTGTAATTTGTTACTTATACAGTAGGTTTTTTTTTATATCGGCATTATGTTAATTTCATTAATTCGTATTAAAAGAAAGTGCTGTTGTTTGTTATCATTTACAAATTCCAGGTTTATTATTTCTTATCACCATTAATCGTTAACGTGTTACGTATAATAACGTATACGTAATAAACGTACTAATCATTTATGTTTGAATGTGTGTGTCTTTTGCTTGTTTGTGTTGTTTAAATGCAAGAAATTGCCCAATCCCACGCTAAGCAATAGTTTAAGGGTATCTCGTTAAACTCGTTATCCTTTTCTCCCTTCGTGTACCCATATGGTTATAGATGCGGTCTTCTTTTTGGCCCTTACTCGGAAAGCTTCGGATACCTAGATAGTTTGTATTGTTCACGTCCTTCTTAAGTCTGTCCTATTTTTGGATGGAAAAATGTAGCTTGAGTTGGTAACTTTGGATGCAAACAGTACAGAGAGCAAGAGAACGTAATTCTAAATACTATGCGCACATGATCAAAATATGGCTGTCAAAGTGACAATTCGCTAAAAAGGCATTTTTTATTATAGATAGTAGTGTTATGGAATTCTTGTTTATGTATGGAATTCATATCACTAAGTAGATGGCGTTATTTTTAGATTAGAACTGTGAAAGCCAAAACTGTACAGTTGTATATCGTGGCCAGATCTGGAATGGATTACAGTGCCCGACCATTTCATGAATAGCAAACATTTCATGATATAGCGAATTATTGCTTACTTACTCTCTGAATCGTATTATACTATAGAAGATTAACATCTAATGGAAGATTCTTAACGCTTCTTTTTTGAAGTTCCGTAGTCGGATAAAAAGTAACTTCCGCCCAGGAACTTTTTGACCGAGAAAAATTCTGAAAACTGCTAATTTGGCTTCAGTATCCTTTGTTTAGCCCCTGGAATTATTTTTCAGGAAATATTAGAAATACAGACATGACTTTTCTACAGATTCATTATAAAAACGTAAGAAATGTTTTCTGTGTGAGATGATGTGATATTTTATACATCTATTTATTCAATCCATTCTCATTATATTTATTCAACCCAGGTTTGAACGCTATATTTTCGATTTAGATAACTTGTTTAAATATACAAGAGCATTCGTCGAGTGTAACTAAAAGATGCCGTCACATACCTACATTCCAGTTCAGGGCAATTTTAAAAGCAATTTAAAATTCTCTTTATTTATACCAGAAACATGTAACTAAGTTACAAGTCTTTTGCAACAGTCACCATACTACAAAGTAAAGTGAAGTAAACTGCAAGTAACTAAAGTAACAACCCAACCAAACGGGCTGCGTATGTCCCTCTGCTGATTACAGACCTATCATTACTAAGTAAAAATCTTTCACTTTATGATGCTCTACCGTTTTGTGATAGCGGATTTAACATGTTCTCAAGATATTTTTTTAAATTTTACATTCATTGAGGTTTCGTCACGATTTGTACCTTGCACGTGGTAACAACTTACAATTTCATTCGTAGGGACAAGCTCGAACTTGGTTTGCTAGCGTATTTATTTTATAATAATTTATTACAATTGGCAATGGGCAGGCCATATAGCTCGAAGAACCGATAACCGATGGGGAAGAAAGGTTCTCGAGTGGCAGCCTCGTACCGGTAGGCGTAGTGTAGGGCGACTCCCCACTAGATGGAGTGACGACCTGGTAAGACATGCAGGAAGTCGATGGATGTAGGTGGCTCAGAACTGTGCTTTGTGGCATTACTTGGGGGAGGCCTATGTTCAGCAGTGGACTTGTGAAGGGCTGTAATGATGATGATGATGATTTTATTACAGGTAGTAGTTGCTGCAGGAGAATATACAACTGGCAGTGCGTGGTTGTCAGAAGAGAAACTTCTAGAGCAAGCTCGTGACATGTGGAAGAGACTCAGCGATGAACAAAAAGGTGCATACGGCGAAGATTATTTCGAGCAAGCACTCCGAAGTCTTGAAAAGTATACAAAGAGCGCTGTAAGTATAGAACACAAAAAATGTTTTGTTTGTAAGTAACATCAAAAAGTTGAATTTAAAGTTACAACAGCCTATATACGTCCCACTGTTGGTCACAGACCTCTCATTTCTGAGAGCCTTTAGAGCCCTTCTTGAGCCTTTCAGATTTTTTGATGAAGCCTTTAGAGGGTTCATCTAAAAATCAGACGTCCACGTTTGAACTTGCTTAATCAAAAGTACTTATAGATCGCAGTTTGTGCAAAACTACTCTATGTACGTCTTGATTTCTTGATTTTGATCATAGTGAAAACAATAAATCAAGATAAAATTTAGCACAATTGAAAAATAATAAACACGAAAATAATAGTATAAAGGAATAAAACTCTTTTTACGGATTTTTAATTTTAACTTATTTTCAATGCCCGACGGTTCGCTCTGTTTAAAGCACCCATTATTTCTTGGAGACTAATGTCATAGTCACCCGGACTATCTTCAATTTTTATTACTATCCTTTTGAACGATCTACTTAGAAAGAACAAACAGTAGTCTTGAAAACTTAGGTTTTCAAGACTACTGTTTGTTGGGATTTCAAAAGAAGTTAAAATTAAGGCTACAAAATCCGTAAAAATAAATCATTATGAAAACTTTGACTTGAAAGTTTCTTAGCTAATAATTTGAATAAAAAGGAATCAAAAACTATCAACTGCGCAGTCAATTATATAACAGCTGCTTAAGTGTTCACCTAAAAATACTACACTCATTCATCCCAACCTACCCGTCTCCAATAAAATGCTTATTTGCGTTCTTAACAAACGTTAACTTTGGATTCGAACTGAGGAACCGTAAGGTATATGAATATCATTTTAATTTTTTCAAACAATAAATATTAGTTAGTAGTTGTGCTTTCTTTCATGTGTTAAAAGGTAAAAAAGCATGTAGTATTATATTTTTACCACCAGGATGCTGACCTCACCGCAGTTACTCGCGCGCTATGTGACGGCGTGACCCGCACTTTTCCTCTGGCCCGTTATACCCCTGTATCACCCCGTGAGAAGCTAAAGTCTTTACTGGCTGAACATCTACCTCGCTCTCTATATGAAGGACTCTATACTGATTAAACGATTTAACTTTACACAAAATAAATTCGAAAATTTCAATTTTTACCATCTTGCTGCAATATCCTTGTAATTAAGATTTAATTCAAATACGGATTAGCCCTTTATAATATAATTATCTTATAACTTGTAAGGGTGCAATAACTTGAAATTATTACTTTTGTTTTCCTTGTTGTCTTCAATCATACTCCTAGATATGTAGCTACATCGGCTATGCGGTTATTAATGTTATTTATATTTTGTTTAAACATTATATTGCGTTGTTTTATTTCATTTTACTATTTTTTTGATTTCTCAGAAAATTAGAAATACATTTTTTGCGGATCTGTGAAATTTACTATTTATTTCTTTGAAAAGTTTGTTGCTTTCACATAAAAATATTGTTATAATAATTTTTAAGTATCTTAAATTAATCACTAATAACTATCTGTAACTCTATATTTGAATCAAATTTAAGAAGAAACAATTACCATTTGAAACTTTAACTAACTATAATTAACATCCAGCTTAAATTATTTTGCAACAAATAAGCTACGATTGTGTATACTATTTCAAAACAAAAAGAAAATTAAATGTAATCTTTACTCTTCCTTATTTCATTTGTTTGGAATAAAGTAGCAAGTTAAATTAGAAAAGAAAGACAAATACTTTTTTGAAAATTGTCTAAGTAACAAGGTTTTTTTAACCCATACATATTACTGTTTATTGTAAAATCGTCATCTTTAACTATTTTAAAACGCCATGAATGGAATCAATTATGTCATCTAATGAAAGCTTAATAAAATTAAAAAATATTTATAATATGAGAAACGTTAAGTAAAACTCTAGCTTACTATAATATAATATCTTATTAACTACTGTCCTTACTCCACTAATGCTAAAGAACGAGATATCATTTACAAATATATAGATATTAGGGGTGACACTATCAATTAATCAATTGGGCACATCAGCATCATTACTTCTGTGGTTTTATATGACAATTCTAAACCACACAAACCAAAACAATCCATCAACTGATTATACATAAAAGTTGAATACAAACTCGGCCACGGTATAATTAATATTGTACGTATTGATTTAAAATTCAAAAACAAACAAAAATTGTAGATTAAAAACATGGTGAGGTAGTTATGAAGAATTTCTATATAACATTATATTAAAAATGTGGCAGTAAACGACCTTTTTATCTACACATCATCTTTTATTGCTAAGTGACGGCTGATTTGCTATCAGCCGTAACCTAGCATTACCTACGTACTATATATTATCTCTTCTCTTAAGTTTAATATAAGAGAATAATTAATAAGTATCATCAAATCATCTCAATGATAATTCAATAACGCATAAGCCATATTACTTGGGTATATAACTATTGCAAAAATAACAGCAACAGTACTTAAAGAAGCGAGGTCGAAAAATTAATGTGCGTGTAATTATGCGTGAACTGAGGTCAACTAATACCAGCAACATGACATGAATAAAATCTACTATTACTTACACCTAACTATTAGCATAATATATTTTTTGAAATGTAAAGATTTGTAAGAGTATAATAATAAAATAATTGTAGAAAAAATACTACGTAGCACGTTGCTTTTAATATTTCGAGTTTTATTTTACTTAAAATGAATTATGATTTCTTATGTTAACGTAAACACTACTCTTTAAATGAAACTAGTTTTACAGATTTTATCGTGATTTAGTAAATCTACTTATAATACTTATTTTACTATCCCGTTCTCGAGTACTTTATAGCAACCATGTTCACGGGAGGGGCTGAGTTGTTAAGGCGTAGGCGTGGTTAAATCCGTAAAACTAGTTTCATGAAATTGAATTACTTTACTAATTAACTCTAAATTAACTGGGCATGAAAAGCATTTAGATTATGTTTTTAGTTTAAGATACATTTTAACGTTTATTTTTACCATCCGTATCTTGTAATAAATAGTGATGGGCCGAATATAGATTTCACAGAATACGAATATTTGGCCGAAAGTTTGGTAAAACTTTTACCGAACCAAACATTGACATTATTGATTGATTGAACATAAACATTATTCGGCCAGGATCACCTCGGTACCTAACCAATTTATGTCAAACTTGTAAAGCGCGCGGGATTAGCGCGGGACCCTGCCCCTCGCTTCCCCGCCACACCTGACATGTTATTGCATCATCTAGTATTAAGCAAATTGCCGGTACATACTTATGTTTTGACTATTTTTGTGAGAAAAAGTATTTCGTTGTGTTATTCTTAGTGAAAATTGATAATTTTATAAGATAAAAATGAGATCATATTTTAGAGAAACTGACAACCAAAGTAAACTGTAAAGCAAATTAAAATCTACTAATGTAATGTGTAATTCTTTGTTTGATTCCAAAAACATTTAATCAAGCTTTCTGTTTGCTGTAATTGGAAATAAATCTACAATGCCTTAAAAACATAACCCATAAATAAAATATACTTTGACATGGCGTTACTCAATTCGTACATTTCAATACAGTGGATATTTTGATTACTACTTCAACGAATATTCGGTGCTTTAGCCGAATATTTGGTCGAATACGAACATTCGGTAAAGCTGCCGAATATGCCGTATACAGAATACGAAACGAATATTCGGCCCTTTCCTAGTAGCCTATAACAGCTGTATAGTGGCAGCGTAAGAACATCCACTACCCCATTTCATCTTCTGTGTAAGTAGCAATAGAGGGAGACGAGCATTAGTCCCTAATAATAATTCTTTTTTTTTCAAAGTTGCATTGATATAGAAAAATATCAATAAATAGAGTAGCAAGTGTGACTGAGAAGTCTCAGTCACACACGTGTGATTGTGTCTTGCTCTACTTTTATCCACAAAAACATGAATGAATTATTTGCAAATTAGTTAAAGTATGTAATGGTCTACTCCATAAAAATATATAACGTGTAACATAATTAACGCACTTTAAGAAAGTAGTTTTTTCAGAATCGTTTACTGAATCGATTCCTATATTTTTAATATAGGTAATTTTTTATCCCAAAAATAATTAAAACTACGTAAATTACAGTCACACTAAATCTGTACAGTCAAAACAAACTGAAATGGACCTTAACTTAAGGCAAAAAGACTTTTAAGAGTGCAGTTTTATTTGTATTATTACTAATCCTGTCATTAAATTAAAAATAAAGAAAAATGAACTTTATTTCAAGTACGTTAAAGTCTTTGCGTTCGTGGATTTGTACTGTGACCACAACATTCTTCCGGAATTAGTATAACTAATTTGATAAATAATCAGTGCATAAAAATGTTTAACTAAATATTCAGTGTTTTTATATTGATTATATCATAATATACTAATTGGGGTGTATGAGGGTGTGCGTTAATTACGTTACATATTGTATATGTAAACGTAATAATTATTGTATACAAAGATCTAGCCATTGTTGAAATATAGACATTTATTATAAAACATAAAGTATTAATTAAATTATAGATCCGTAGCAGTTGTAATTAAATGTGTATTGTATGTTAAACTATATATAGAGTTTGCTTTTTCATACTTAGTCTATTTATTATATTTTAGACATTTATTTGCAACTGATAACAATTTAAAAGAGAGTTCGAGAATGATTTACCTTTATAACTCTAACGTATTGGAAACCACATTCATTTTAATTTATGTATGTATATATGTACTATGTTTGTACTTTTAGATTATGCTTATATCAATACGACACATTTTAGTGTGCATTTAAATTAAGTAAGTGTTCCTGTGTATTTATGAGTGGTTATGTAAAATTTGTGTATTATAATTATTAAAAAATACATTGAGTTCCATTTAATTTTAAACATACTCATGGCGGAGAAAGGTTTTTGAGTGGATTTAGACAGGAAATTTAAAAATTGGATATAAAAACAGAACAGAATTATTATAACAATGTTATTATTACTATTTCATATTTATTTTAAATATTATTAATAATAAATTTCGTTTTACCATTGGTTAAGAAAAAAAAAACTCTGTCCCAGAAAGAACAAACAAGAAAACCAGTGGGACTTTATTTAAAATAAAAATTTTCAATGAAAACCATGGTTTGTATAAGAAATCATAAAATTTATTTCAAAAACAGCTTTGCTTATTAAAGAATTGGTGATAAACAGTCCTTGTAAATTTTCTGAGATTTGATTGTAAAATCTTACATTCTATGAATGAGTTACTGACGTTTATCAGTACATCACGTTTTTTATAAAAACTACTTTTTATGTACCTACACATACAATTTTTGCAGTTCCTAGTCATATTTGTAGAAAGTCCTAGTCTATCTATTACTTACTTACTTATCTTCACGCACAATCCCTAACGGGGTAGCCAGAGAGAACAGATCGCCAAGTGTCACGATCCTTACATGCCTCTTTCGCTTCTTTCAGGTTCATTAACTTCTTCATACATGCACGTCTAGGTATCCGAGTACTCATGACCTTCCCCTCTTCGAGCAATTTGCTCACATGGTCTTCGAAAGTTAGTCTCGGTCTACCTCGACACCTTTTAATATTTACTTTCGCTATATATATTTTCTTCACCATTCGGTCTTCACTCATTCGCTCAACGTGCCCAAACCATTGGAGTACGCCCCTATCAATTTTTGTGATAAGGTCATCTTTCAATCCTGCCATATTGCGAATCTCTTCGTTTCGCTTTCGATCGGCTATGGTAACGCCACACATTTTACGAAGAGATCGCATCTCCACTGCATTCAACTTGCTTTTATGCTTCTTCTGGCATACCCAGGTTTCGCTGCCATATAACAAAGTCGGTACCAACACTGCGTTATGTATTGCAAGGCGTGCACTCTTCACCACGCCTTGCCTTTTGACTAATGCATTGAGGGCACCATTGACTTTGTTTCCGGCAGCGACGCGCCTATCCACATCTAAATCACATCTTCCATCCCGGCTGAAAGCACTCCCCAAGTATACAATTTCATTTACCTGTTCTAGACGTTACGTACGTTTTTTGTT